GCCGAGGAGGGAGAGCATGCAGAATGTCACCTGCTCTGAATGGACTGTGTGTCCAAGGGTGCGGCCATCATGGCCTGACTCAGGGAGCCAGGAACGCAGTCTGCTGGTAAAGCACCTTCCTGAGACCAGTAGTCACTGTTATCCTAGTTAAGTGGCACAAAGAATGATAAAAATAGGTCAAAGATCAGAAGTCATGACATCTTTTTTCAATAAGTACTGTCCTGGGAAAGAATTATTGGATCAATTGAATGAACTGTCCCTGTAGGTCAATTCTTCAACTGAACAATTTGTCCCTGTAAGTCAAACTATTTAACTATTTAACAAACTTTTTAGCCCTTGTGGAGCAAATTCAGATTTTATTTTTTTAGCAATTTCATTTTTGAGAAAACTTCCATTATATCTCTCCCAGTGAAGAGATGTTTATCTGAAGGTTCACAGCAGCCCAGTACTGTCAAAGCTTCAAACCTACCAGCCAGTGACTCCTTTCAGCAGTGTATTTGGTCATTCTTGGTTCCTGACCAGCCTGCAGTGGATCCTATGACACTTGCATAGTTGCCACTGGTAGACATGTACTCTCCCAGAATTCTCTGAATGATCCCTGAAAATGTAGCTTCATCTTCTGTGCTATGGGTGATGGAAGTCACAGCAGAAACAGCGATTGCTCCTGAATCTCCAGCCTGTCTTATGGGTGAGTCTCTGTTGTGTGTGCCAGCAGCTATATGTTACAGACATAGAGCAATGAGGAAGGCTATGAGAGGGATCCATCAACATATCCTGTGCTCACATTCAGATGAAGATGAGTTTATGTGGTGCTTCAGATCAGAGACAATGCTCTCAATTCCCATTTGCGACACAGAACAGAACCATTGCTTGCTGACTAAAACATCTCTTTTCTCTGCGTACCTCTGAGCAACTTCCTGTTTAATTACATGCACTTGTGTGTGCATGTGTTTGGGTGTGCATGACAGTCCTGGGGCTTGAACTCAGCACTGTACCTAAGCTTTTGCTACCACTTGAGCCATAGATACACTACAGGCTTTTTGGATAGGTAAGAGTCTAATGGACTGGCTTTGAAATGTGATCCTCAGATCTCAGCCTCCTAAGTAGCAAGGATTACAGGCGTGAGCCACAGGCACCTGGCTTCATATGCTACTTTGACTTTTGGGGCCAGCCACTGTCTTTTGTACAAATATCAAGGGACAGATCTTCCAAGTGAGTACGTCTGAGAAACAAACTGCTCATTTGATCCAAATGATTGTCGGTGGACTCACAGAAAGTACTGAAGCTAGTCAGTGCTAATGAGTGAACAGGGGCTGTCACAGCCATGTATCAGGTGCTAAACACTTGGACAGCTCCCTGTGCTCACAGGTGAAAGGCTCAGGGTCTGATTCCTGGGGCACAGGCATCACTGCTTTACTAGGCACATGGCACAAAGGTATACACCTAAAAGTCCAACACTGAACCCTAATTTTCTGATCCCTAAACTTGTAGAGAATAAGCTATTAATATTTAAATATTAGGATGCTATGTGTCCAGTCTGCTTGAAATCTATATCAGGACAGAAAGCCAAAATATTATAAAGTGATACCAGTAAAACAGATTGAGCATTCCTGATCCAAGCTCCAGATGCTCAAAACCTGAAACTATTTTGAGAACTGACATGATATAGGGTAGAAAATTCCACACTGGATTTCATATGACAGGTTGCAATAAAAATGCAGGCCGCAAAAAGTATTGTATAATGTTGCTTCAGTTACTTGAATCTCCTCCAAAGGCCTACACGGTAGAAACATGAAGAGGTGGCATCAAAACCAACAGGCATCAAGCTGGTCAGTGGGGAAACACCTTTGAAGACAACTATAGAGCCCCAGCCCCTTCCTTTTGTTTTTCCAATTCCCAGCCATGTGCTGAGCAGATCAGCCATGATCTGTGCCCAGATGTATTACCTCATCTCTGGTCTAAACCAACACTGCTCTCCAATCATGGACTGAAACCTCCAAAATTATGGGCCAAAATAAAGCTTTTCCTCTTTAGGAACTGATTACAGTAACAGACATGAAGCAACATCATTCTCTTCAGGCTATGTGTATAAGGTAACAGGAAACCTAAGTGAATTTAGGGGTATCATTCCCAACAGAGCTCATTGTGTATATGCAAATATTCCAAAATCTTTCAAAAAACATCTGAAATTCTTCTGACCTAAGCATTTTTAACCTGCCATGATGCGATCTTTTAAAAACCAAAGGAGGCTCTCCTAAAACCTATCTTGTCTAGAAGATCCCCTGCTAATCCTTGACAGCAGGGTACCAGCTATGCAGACTGAGGGGAGGACGTCATGACCCACAGGGCAGCTTTGTGAACTTCAGAGAGAGCACCCAGGGCTTCTGATACAGGGGCTACCCACCACCTTCATCTGCTGCACCCCAATTTACTGCACCAGGCAACCAGTTGCACAGAGTAGGAAACGTGGTGTGCTCAGTAGGGCCACCACGCCCCTCCCCCACTTTCTTGTAGTCTTCATCATCTTCTATTCTCCAGCCTGCTTCCAGACCCCAGGCTTTTTTTTTTTCATTTAGGAAAAGAATATTTTTAATTTTTTAAATTGTTATTAGAGGGCTGGAAAGGTGGCTCAGTGGTAGAGCACTTGCCTTGCATGCATGAGGCCCTGGGTTCAATTCCTCAGCACCACATAAGCAAAAAGAAAAAAGCTGGAAGTAGCGCTGTGACTCAAGTGGTAGAGCGCTAGCCTTGAGCTGAAGAGCTGAGGGACAGCGCCCAGGCCCAGAGTTCAGGCCCTACGACCAGACCCCCCCCCAAAAAAAATTGTTATTAGAAAAGTCATATACAAAGGACCTATAGTTAGGTAAGGAGTACATTCCTTTCCTTGATCTCTCCCAGTTGAAAGTAATATTTTTTTTGGTGGGGGGGGTCCGGTCATGGGGCCTGAACTCTGGGCCTGGGCGCTGTCCCTCAGCTCTTCAACTCAAGGCTAGCGCTTTATCACTTGAGCAATAGCGCCACTTCCGGCTTTTTTCTTTTTTCTTATGTGGTGCTGAGGAATTGAACCCAGGGCCTCATACATGCAAGGCAAGCACTCTACCACTGAGCCACCTTCCTAGCCCCTGAAAGTAATATTTTTAAAACTATGAAAATGTTGTTTCTCTCAGAAGTTTTGTTAAAATTAATTCATGCCACTTATATTGTCTTTTCCCCAACTTAGTCTAAAGCTCCAGGGGGAAGGGAAGGTGGGGGAAAATGAGGAAGGGGTTAACAATGTTTGACAAGAAATGTACTCCTTACCTTGCTTCTGTAACTGTAACCCCTCTGTAAATCACCTTTACAATAAAATAAAATAAAATTTTAAAAAAACCTCTGAAGCTTCGTGGAAGTCAAGTACTTCCAATGTGCCCTTTGGGATATGGTAGTCATCAGATTTACTTTTGGAATGCTGAGTAGGTCAAGAATACCTAAAATAACCTGGTTTCTATTTTAAAATACCCCAATTGCTTTGTAACATAAAAGGAGAAAAAGATTACTTTAAAGAATTTTTCAAAATACAGACATCGAGAGAACACATGGATCTCACATGGGACTGCCCACACCTCTAAAGGAAGGATAAGGAAGGACACTTCCTTCCAGATGTGTGAAAACACAGCCAGCCAGGATTTGAGAAAGAGCTAATCAGAGGATATTAGACCATCTTCTTTTGATTAAGGAAAACCCAAATAAAAAGGAAGACATTCTTTAAGGGACATTGACAGGCCTCAGTCTCAGAATGTTTGACAAGCAGAGGGATTTTGCTCTCAAGATGAAGCACAGTCCAGAAACGAGTCCCAGCAAATCATGAGAACTGCACACAAATGCAGACATTAGGGTACTGATACTGAGTGGGCGGGGATTTATGAGGTGTTTCATTTCTAATACTTTAAGAGGGTCCCTAAGAAGTTTCTTAAGTCAAGTATTATTTCTTATGCCTCATCCTCAGAAGAGTTCTGGGGATTGAAACAATGGCTTAACTTGCCAGAAATCCACTAGTAGAGATCTCTGGGTTGGGCTATGTCCCCATGGATGGCAGAGAAGCCCTCAAAGAAACAGAAGGGGCCAGGAACACTGGCTCACACCTGTAATCCCAGCTACTCATGAAGAAGAGACAGCATTTGCGATAGAAGTTTAAGGCCAGCCCAGGCACAAAGTTAGTGAGATCTCTCTTCAACTCTAAGCCAAGCCTGGTGGCATAGCCTATGGTCCCAGATACAAGGGAGGCAAAGGTGGGAGGATTATAGCCCCAGGTCAACCAGAGCAAAATAACATGAGATTCTATTGGAAAAAAAGGCTAGGTGTGTGGCTCAAGAGGTACAGTGCTTGCCTATTAAGCATGTAAGTCCCTGAGTTCAAATCCCTCAGTGCTGCTGAATAAAAAGAAAAAGAAAAAGAAGCAGAAAGCACAGCCTGTGTGGCTTACCAGCCAGGAGAGGTAAGTTAGCTAGAAACATCGTCAGGACTCTGAGCTCCGCAGAGGAAGTGCCAGGCACCCCACTGTGCCCAGACCCAAGGCCTCCCACATGGCATCCGAGTGACTGTTTGCTGGACCTCACTCCATGACAGTACAAGCTGAGGACACAGAAGAGATGAGAATTACCAGAAAATGCTCTAGATGGAGCAGCCTCCATGGAGGATGTGAAGAAGCACCATGCCTTCTGCCAGCTCTCTCAAGATCTGCCCAGGGAATCTTAACTGCATTCTTGGTGGCTGATTTGGATGTCCCATTCTGTGATTCGAAGGACTTTTAAAAACCACCTATAAATATATACCCATGGGCAGCACAGTTCAGTACTATCACATCAAAAAACATTACCTGGTGGGATTCCTTTGGCCAGGCTAAGATGCTGAATTGTGATTCTGAGTTTGGGGTGTGTCTCAGTATTAATATGTGGTATATTCTGATGAGCAGGAATCTTCCGTAAGAGCAGTACTGCCCATGACGCTGCACAAACACCTACCTTTGGTAGGTCCCTTCCGGTTAAGTACAGCCTGCTGCTCTTCTGTGATGTTCAGCCGTCGAACCACGTCAGCCAGCGCGGACTTGAGCAGTTGGATGTCATCTTCTTGCATCTGGACTCGCTGCTCCAGAGAAGCAATGCGGTCTGACACCTCCATGCTGCTGGCGGCAGACGCACTGTCATCTAAACCGAAGGAAAGGATCACACGAGCAGATTTAGGAACAAGTGCTAACATGTGGCTTGAACGTAACACAATTCACAAGCCAAAGGCAACAGCTTGTACACGGAATCACATGAAATCATTTGTTGTCCAGGGTTACAACTCTTCGTACTATGAGTCTTTGCTTCTCCATCTCCATGCTTCTTGTTTTCAACTGTGGTCTTGATTGGCATTAGATTGTTTCACATGCGGGTCAACCTATTTCCTTTTCCCTAACACAGCAGAGAACCTGAGAAGTGAGTGGGCTGTCTGTGTATGCTTCGAACACCTCAGCCCTGCATATTCACTCAGCTGGCTTTCCAGCTTTTACTCCAGCAATGCTGATGGACACGTGGTCAGTCACATGACCATAAGCCACATGACCCATCTGTCTGGATCTGAAGGACGGGGCACTGAGTGGGCATGTCTGCTTGACAAGCACACTCTTGGAGCAGTCATGGTTGCTTATCCAGAACCCCAGTTCCTAACGGCTTAGCAGGCTTACAAGGCTCCAAGGGCCCTCCTTGCCATTCTGACCTTCATTCCCAAGCTGCAGCCATATAGGCCTCTTCCTGCCCTGGAGCTTGGTGCCTGCTACCGCCTTTGCATGGTACTTTTCTCACCAGCTCCTTGAAGGACCCAATTTATGTTCTTCGGCTCTCAACTTAAATTGAAGTTCTTTAAAGAATCTTCCCTAAACCTTATTTGGCCAGGTATAGTGGTTCACGGCTGTAATCCCAGCTACTCAGGAGCCTGAGATTGGGATAATCAGAGTTGAGAGACCAGCTCAGGCAAAAAGTTCAGGAAGCCTCATCTCAATTAATCAAAAGCTTGCTAGAGTGGCACACATCTGTCACCCCTGCTCTACAGGAAGCACAAATAGGATTACTCTACGTCTGAGCAAAAAGCAAGAGCCTATTTATAAAAAGTAGTTACTTTCTATCTCACTGACTTATTTCATAGCATGCACTGTGAATTATCATTATCTTTCTGGCTTCTTTATTCTCCACATCTCTCAACTAAAGTGTAAGCATCATGGAGTCTTGTCAGCTACCAGGCATGGCAGCCTAACTCCCACTGGACCCTACCAGTCAAGAGGGATCCCCTTGCCCCATGCAAAGAACAATGAAGTCTGAAAGTCATTTGGGACACCAGTCTTTTCCTCCTCTGGTCCCAAGGCGGGCTATTTTGCTCAGCCATGTGCTCTTACCATGGTATGCTGTGGTGAGCCATAGGCCCAAAGCAACTAGGCTAGTCACTATTAACTGGAAGCCCCAAAGTATGAGCCCAAACAAACCTTTTCTCCTTATCAGATAATTACTTCAGGTATTTTGGCATAGTGACAGAAAACTGGGTAACACAAAAAGAATCCATACTACAGAAACTTATTTCTTTTTCTTTTCTTTTTTTAAGTTTTGATGTTTGATGTTTGCCTAGTGCTTACTAGGCAAAAGCTAGATTATCTGTGCCATATCCCCAGACCTTCTATACTTCAGTGACTTTTCAGATAGGGCCTTGTACATTTTCCCTGGAGGTGTCAGCCCACATCCTCCTGGTAGTTGGGCTCACAGGTACACAACACCACACCTAGCTTATTAATAGAGAGGAACTCTCGCTTTTTGCCAAAGTCAGCTTCAAACTTTGATCCAGCCAGTATCTTCCCAAGCAGTGTGAGCCACTGCACCAGTGCTAGAATCATGCATTTATATGGTCTTTCTGGATTGTTCCCCAAGAATAGCTTTTAGAGAAGGCACATGTACCTGTTAATGAGTTTGAGCCAGCATAGTACTGTGGTGAATGCTACACAGCTTCTGAAGTGCAACCTTGCATTTTCAATTCAGAACTGTATAACAACACAAAGAATAAGTAAGACAAGACTGGCTTGTCCCTGAATTCTAAAAATGTCCAACTGAAAACAGCATCACTGTGACCTCAGTGGACAGATAGATGGGTAGATGAGATTTGCTGACATTTTCCCAGATGAAATAATCCTAGTGCTTTGCAAATGCTGCCAGAGTCATTGAGCTGTAATGGATTTTCTCCCATCTATTCCTACAGGTAATAAATCTCAGCAGCTCTGCTGGAGACCTCTGGGCAGCAGTGGGGGCCATCTGATGTCCTTAACCTGTCCAGTGTTCAGAAGCTGGTGTTGAGCTGATGAGCAATGGCACACTTCAGTTCAGCTGGGTTGAGGGATCAGCTCCTGAGCAACAAAGCCCAGAGCTCGCTTTAACCCACACAGACTAACACCAACAAGTCACCGATTCACAGCACAAGACCAGACACTGTCTCTGACTCCTGTCAAAGACCACATTGGACTAGGACTGCAGCACAAAGGAAAGCTTCACAAATCACTTACTATAGAACAGCTTTAGCTTGGATGTGTGGCTCAAGTGGAAGAGCACTAGTTTTAGCAAGCTCAAGGCCCTGAGTTCAAGCCCTAGTACTGAGAAAAGGAGAAGAAAAAGAAGGAAGAGGAGGAAGAAGAGAAGAAAGGAAAGAAGGAAGAAATGATAGAGAAATAATTCTAGTTTCTGCACTTCTAACAACTTATCTAAATAGAATTTTATCTTAGGGCTTTTGAAATGTTCACTTTGAATGTATTGTTAATAGTCTGAAAACAATGGTATATTTTATTTACCTCTTGACTTTAAAAAAAAAAGAGCTTCCATCTTAACTTGAGCTGCTAGCTTCGGCACCTGCTCACCTGCACAGGGCAACTGGGATCTGTTTACACAAGTGGGATGTAACTGTGCCAGGCAGTGAGCATCTGTCCACCTTGATATCAGGTGACTATCTCCCAGATAACGGTCACACTCTACACCCTGACTGCACAGGCACACAGTAGACACGATCTAATCAGAGCTGGAGCTGAGCCCACAGTGGTGTGACGCACGCCATGTAGAGGTCTGGCTGGCAACCTCTCTACAAGCTCCACTTTCCTTCCCAGCCATCGGCAGCTCTTTTCCATGCTACACATTCCAGTGTTCTACTTGCCAAGGGCCAAACATGATTCAGAAAACCGGACCTCACACAGGTTCCTGAGAGTTACCCAGACCATCTGGGTCGTGGGTCTTCAGAGGCAGCAAGGTGAAACAGAGAGTGCACTGATTGAGATGCCTGCCAGGCAGGGGTCAATTCCTGGGATCTATGAGTTATTGGTGACGTGATCACTTTAGGCACCATACCAGCTGCCTCTTATGTTCCTGGGAGGACAAATGCCATGTACATACAACTTCTAATGCACCCATGACAAATAGTGCACTATGCAAATGGGAATAGGTTGAACAGCCCTTATTTGAAACAGTTAGGATCAAGAATGTTTTAGAGTCTGGAGGTGTTTTGTTTGCTTGTTTTTAGATGTGGGGATGTTTGAATATTCCCAACCTGAAATTCCGAAGTCTAGAATGTTAGGAAATCCCAAACTTTCGGAGCATCATGTGAGTGCCCAACAAGTTTCAGACTTCAGAGCACGTTGTAGTTTGGATTTTTGGATTGGGAAGGCTCAAGCTACAGTGCATGGTTGTGAATATTGTGGTTTACAATGGCAAGAATCAACGCTTAGAAAATTGGGTGAACACCACGCAGTGTTTGGCCCATAACAGAGGCCCAGACTACAGCAGATGATACCATTTCTTCCTCTCTCACGCACCTCAAGTGCTCTGTTTAACAAAGATAAATAATGGCTTGATAAGGATACAGCCCCCTCACAGGGCAGTGTGGTTGGGATGGCTGGAGCGGTCCCACCTTGGCCTCCCAATACTGCTCCATGTGACAGGAGGGCCCAGCAGACCCCATGCAGCCCAGGAGAACCTTTCAGCTCTCCCCGTCCCCTGGCGCCTCAGGCACTTCTGCTGCTGTGCAAAGTGGCACAAGTGAGCACCATAGCTCATCTCTGTCATCCTAGCTATTTGGAAGGCTGAGAATGGAGAATTCCAGTTCAAGCCCAGGGTTTTAATGCCAGGCATAGTGGCTAGCAAGAGGCTAGTCAAAGCAAAAGAAGGGAAAAAAAATCACAAGACTCTATGCGGCACAGTAACCTGGGAAGCACAAATGGGAGATTCACAGTCCAAGCTGATCCAGGCAGAAAACTGATACCTTATATCAAAATAAGCTATCAGAATTAGAGCTGGTAGCATGGCTCAAGTGGTAGCGCACCTATCTAGCACACACAAGGCCCTGAATTCAACCTCTAGTACTGCTGGGGAAAAAAAATTATTAAAAAAAATGGAGAGGGCTGGGAAGGTGGCTCAGTGGTAGAGCGCTTGCCTTGCAAGAGGGAGGGAGGGAGGGATGGAAGGAAAAAGAGAGGGAGGGAGGGAAAAGGCTGGCTGGGGTGTATCTCAGTGCACTTACCTAACATGTACAAGGCCCTGGGTTCAATCCCTGGCACTACAAGAGGGTGGCACTTCATATCTAGAGGAGAAGGATTCCAGATCATGTATGAGAAGTCTTTGACACCTTACAGTTACTCCTTCAACCACAGCTATTGTCATCTTAGCCTGGGACAGTCAGAGGAAGCTTCTTAGAGGCTTCTAGCTGGTGGCTGGTTCCAGTTTAAGTAGAAGAATACTCAGGATTGCACGATGGCCAACTGCCTCTACTACACAGATCTTGTCTTACTGACTGCAAATGTGAGCAGCTATGTCCCCCAGCTACTTTGAAGTTTCCTCAGTACTGGTCACTAAAGGTCAGGGTCTTGCTGACTTGCTGACTTGTTCTCTGTCGCCCTCCACAATGTAAGGGCCTCTGTGGCTTGTTTTCCTCACTGCCAGGGCACTCAATAAGTGCATATGGGAGGAATAAGTAAATCCATGCTCCTCCCGGGATTTTGAGTCCAGCCTTTGCACGCACATTGGCTCATTTGTCTTACAATGTACACAATGGTCAGGGTGGACGATCTCAATCCCTGGAACTCCAGCTCAGAGAGGTATACCATGTCCAGGATCCTGCAAGGGCCAGTCCAGGTCCTGTGAGGC